GGCCGCCGCCGCTCCGCCGCGTCTGGCCGCCGCCGCTCCGCCGCGTCTGGCCGCCGCCGCTCCGCCTCTGTGCGTCTGGCCGCCGCCGCTCCGCCTCTGTGCGTCTGGCCGCCGCCGCTCCGCCTCTGTGCGTCTGGCCGCCGCCGCTCCGCCTCTGTGCGTCTGGCCGCCGCCGCTCCGCCTCTGTGCGTCTGGCCGCCGCCGCTCCGCCTCTGTGCGTCTGGCCGCCGCCGCTCCGCCTCTGTGCGTCTGGCCGCCGCCGCTCCGCCTCTGTGCGTCTGGCCGCCGCCGCTCCGCCTCTGTGCGTCTGGCCGCCGCCGCTCCGCCTCTGTGCGTCTGGCCGCCGCCGCTCCGCCTCTGTGCGTCTGGCCGCCGCCGCTCCGCCTCTGTGCGTCTGGCCGCCGCCGCTCCGCCTCTGTGCGTCTGGCCGCCGCCGCTCCGCCTCTGTGCGTCTGGCCGCCGCCGCTCCGCCTCTGTGCGTCTGGCCGCCGCCGCTCCGCCTCTGTGCGTCTGGCCGCCGCCGCTCCGCCTCTGTGCGTCTGGCCGCCGCCGCTCCGCCTCTGTGCGTCTGGCCGCCGCCGCTCCGCCTCTGTGCGTCTGGCCGCCGCCGCTCCGCCTCTGTGCGTCTGGCCGCCGCCGCTCCGCCTCTGTGCGTCTGGCCGCCGCCGCTCCGCCTCTGTGCGTCTGGCCGCCGCCGCTCCGCCTCTGTGCGTCTGGCCGCCGCCGCTCCGCCTCTGTGCGTCTGGCCGCCGCCGCTCCGCCTCTGTGCGTCTGGCCGCCGCCGCTCCGCCTCTGTGCGTCTGGCCGCCGCCGCTCCGCCTCTGTGCGTCTGGCCGCCGCCGCTCCGCCTCTGTGCGTCTGGCCGCCGCCGCTCCGCCTCTGTGCGTCTGGCCGCCGCCGCTCCGCCTCTGTGCGTCTGGCCGCCGCCGCTCCGCCTCTGTGCGTCTGGCCGCCGCCGCTCCGCCTCTGTGCGTCTGGCCGCCGCCGCTCCGCCTCTGTGCGTCTGGCCGCCGCCGCTCCGCCTCTGTGCGTCTGGCCGCCGCCGCTCCGCCTCTGTGCGTCTGGCCGCCGCCGCTCCGCCTCTGTGCGTCTGGCCGCCGCCGCTCCGCCTCTGTGCGTCTGGCCGCCGCCGCTCCGCCTCTGTGCGTCTGGCCGCCGCCGCTCCGCCTCTGTGCGTCTGGCCGCCGCCGCTCCGCCTCTGTGCGTCTGGCCGCCGCCGCTCCGCCTCTGTGCGTCTGGCCGCCGCCGCTCCGCCTCTGTGCGTCTGGCCGCCGCCGCTCCGCCTCTGTGCGTCTGGCCGCCGCCGCTCCGCCTCTGTGCGTCTGGCCGCCGCCGCTCCGCCTCTGTGCGTCTGGCCGCCGCCGCTCCACCTCTGTGCGTCTTGTCAGCAGCTTTCTCAGTAGGCCAAATATTAACTATTAACATGGGCTATTCTGATTTACAACCCATAGCTCTATTTACAAGTCCAAAGCATCTCTCTGCAAACTGAGAGGTAGCCTACGAATATGAGCTGAGTCAACTTTCGGGAAATAGATAAATTACCTCTGGGTTATGCATTATCCCTATTATCTGAAACTGGCAGCTCAAACAGAGAGCACAGGGCTTCAGTAAACACTGCCTGGAAATACCAAGAAAGTCAACAGATTAAGTACAAATTAGTTTACCTAAATAACCTTGTTAATGGAGATTGTAAAATAAGTCAATCTGTATCTGAGTTTTACCATGAGATTGTAAAAATTTCTTTGTTTCGACCTCTTGCTTAGTGCCCCTACTATAAAAAGGTGGGTTCAGAAAGCAGTCTTTGCAACAGCCTTACAAATTCCATCTCAGGCTGTGGTCTCTGCTAGCTGATAAGCTTCTTGTGTCCCATGGAGATTTTTTTTCATTTTAACTTTTTAACTTTTCCTTTAATTTGGTTTCTAGAATAAAGTTTGCTTCTGGTTTTTAGACTTTAGTTGTCTGTCCCATCTTTACACGACCCCCCTGGACCCAACACCCTTAGCCCATGAGAAGGGAATTAGCCTCTGTTCCTGCAATGTTCCCATCTCTCTCCAGTACTGAAATTCAGATCAGTCATCCAGGATCTCCAGACACAGAATTCTCTCAGGGATTCCCCTTCAAGCCAGACAAGGCAGCTTCCCCTCAGATGTCTGATGCCAAAGAGGGCACAGGGACTTTCTATTTAGATTATGCTCATTGCTACTAGACAGGACGGTTACACGGATGCAGTATAGGTTTGTCTGTATTGAGGCCAGTGTTTATTAATGTGTGAGTTTCCTTAAAGAAGTCAGGGAACACAGTCACAGAGTTTTTTTTCTTTTCAGAGTGACTTAGAAATACAGAACAAATGTTAGCTGCAGCCCACCCAGATAAGAATTGGGGTGGGGATCTGCACACTCTCATTGCTCCTGAATGCCCTGAATATTCAGTAAGCTTGTTTACAATACCTTTGGGCAATGTCCCATCAGGTGGCTCTGCTAGCAGAAACCTGGAATGCACATTACCTGAAATCCTTCTATCGGCCCATTTCCAGTCTGAGCATACAGCACAGCTTGTATGTGCCAGCATTTCCCAAGAAGAGGGAGGAGTCCATGGTGGGAATAAATAGGCATCAGTGTGCAGAGGACAGGGCTAAGCAGTAGGAAGGCAGCAACGACCAACATCAGAACTCAGTTGTCCCAGGAGCTGCCAACAGGCATCAGCTCTCAGGTAATGTCAAGAATTCCTTGCCTTTGGGAACAGAGGAAGGACCTTCCTAGGACTGTGTGGTTCTGGTGATGACCTGGAGTCTTGGTTTGGAGGAGGGGTGATGAGTGGTTCCTGGGTCACTGAAGTGGAATCAGGGGACGTTTCTGGAAGGTACATAAATCTCTCCAGTTTGGGTCTTCATGTTTATGGAAGATGCAGGCACAATGAATATTGCTCCTGTAGACAGAATGGAGCCTGCTCCTTTCAGCACTCCATAGGGTGTACTGAGACCTTGTCTATCTTGCTTGGGGCTAAAGAAGCTAAGGAGAGACAGGAAAGTCCCCCTGGAGGAGTTGACTTCCCCACCATGCTTACAGTTGACAGGAGATGCCTTAAGGTCAGGAACCCAGTTACCTAGTAGGTCCCATGACCAAGCAGATGGCCTTCAGCCTCATCTATGGAAGGGAGGAAGCAATGGCTCAGCCACTGAGCCAGGCCTCCTGCTGCACACATGGAGCAGCCCCTTTCCTCTGGAAACAATTCTGACACAAAATAGTGTTCAGTGCTTCTCCAAAGAAATGCTTGCATCTGTAGGAAGTAAGCATGGAGTTAAGGCAGCCAACTAACTGAGGTCCCTGGCTCCTCTGCAGGAGAGTAACAGCCCTGGGGACAAGCAGCTTAGCTCCAGCCTTCTTCCCTCTGCCCCCTCCAATTCCTTCTGTGCTTGTCTAGTCTTCTCTCCCCTCCACCTTCCATTTGGCTCCTCCTCCCTCCCTGGCTTTTCCTCCTACTATCTTGCTGCCCACCTTTCTTCCACTTTCGCACTCCTTGATTCGTCCGTTTCTCCTCTGTTTCCTCCCTCCCCTTCTTCCTCTCCCTTCCATGTATTTACCGTCCACTTTTTTTTGGACACCTGAGCAAAGGGACAGAAGCTTAAGGTGGGTGCCTTTGTTTATTGTAGTGAGCAGGACAGGATCACCATTACAAGATGGCGCCGACATCCTGTCTTGTTGGAAATAAACAACTCCATATTTGGCTATGGCTTTGAGAGCTGCACGTCCCTGCTTCCCGCATGCAGGGTGGATGAGGATCCTTTAGCCTATCCCGATGCGGTCTGGTGTCAGCTGTTGGTGGCAGCCAATCACAGGGCGACCCGTGTGCCAATTCCCTATTTAAGCAGCTGCCTTAGGGCCCTCCACCCCCTTCGCTTCCTGCTGCCTCTCCCTTCGCTCCGTGCCCCTCTGCTCCCTGTTCCTCGTTTTCCCGCCCTCTCGTTTCTTGCTCCCCATCAATCAAGGGCACTCAAGTAAAAGTGTGATCTGAGTGGAATCCTGATGTGGTGGTCGTTCTTCCTCGCCGGACGAGAAGTCCGCCAGTTTACCATGATCAGAGGTCATCAACTGTAATTTTTTAGGATGCCTGTTGCCCCCACTCTAGTGTCATATGAAAGCATAGTCCTCTAGACATTCCCTACAACAAACCCTTTTATACCCATAATAAGTCAGATAATTGTGAATAATGGAACCTGTGTCACTCACCATGCTGCCCAGAGAGGTCCACCCAGTGCCTTGCTACCACACAGCCATCCCAAGAGCAAAAACCAAATCTGGCCTAGGTGTCATCTTTCTTCCCACCAGCAGGCCTTTCAAGCCTGAGGTGCAAACCACCCTGTTTCCCCGGGCAGCACTAAAAGAACCTTCCCTATTTGTCCTTTTCCCTCCTGTTCCCAAGGGTGCCAAGGCTGTGTCACTACACCAGATTTATTCAGAACTACATTTCAATTTTTCTTCCGCAGGCTCAGCTTCATGTACCAGATTCAGTAAAGGGCCTTGGGTGTTCCCAGACTCACCAAGAGGATCTGTTAAGTCCTCTGCCAACTACTGCTGAAAGGGTCCTAAGTGTAGTGTGGAAGATGCAAAAAAACGAGGGTTCCCATCTAATGCATCTTTCTGCAGAGAGAGAATGAGAGAAGGCATTCTGATCAGACAGGGCTCAGCCCACCCTACACCCTGGTGCACTTCTGGCTTGCTCTGTGACTGGGGATGTCCATGGCCCACTCTGGATCTTGGTTCTCTGTAGGGTGATTCCCTGCTGCAGCTGCACTTCCTCCAGTGCTGATAACAGGGAGCACATGACAAGGCGCTGCCATCTGCAGGGCCAGAGCACCTCCATTGCACCTTCAAGGAGGCAGCAGGGGCTGCAGAGCAGGGCCAATTGCAGCCCTGTGGGAGAACACAGAGATGCTCACATCAGCATCTGACCCTCACAAAATCAAAAGTTCTTTCTTTTCAGCCTGGAGAACAGAGAAGATGATGGTCCCACTTGTAGCTCTGGGGCTCCTGATGGCAGGGATCTGCCCTGATCTTAGCTGCCAACAGGATGCTGAACTGCAGGAAGGCCAAATAAATGGCACACAAGTGGAGAGTCTAGCACTGGCCTCAACCAACACTGACTTCGCTTTCAGCCTCTACAAGGAGCTGGCTTTGAAGGATCCAGGTAAAAACATCGTCTTCTCCCCACTCAGCATCTCAGCTGCCTTGGCCGTCCTGTCCCTGGGAGCAAGCAACAACACTCTGCAAGAGATTCTAGAAGGTCTCGAGTTCAATCTCACAGAGACCCCTGAGGCAGACATCCACCGGGGCTTTGGGCAGCTCCTACTCATGCTCAGCCAGCCAGGGGACCAACTGCAGATCAGCATAGGCAATGCCATGTTTGTTGAAAAGCACCAGCAGATCCTGGCAGAGTTCAAGGAGAAGGCAAGGGCGCTGTACCAGGCTGAGGCCTCAAGTGTCGACTTCCAGCAGGCTCATGAGGCCAAAAAGCTCATCAATGACTACGTGAGGAATCAGACCCAGGAGAAGATTAAAGAACTGATCTCAGACCTGGATAAAGACACAGTAATGGTGCTGGTGAACTACTTCTACTTTAAAGGTGAGGATGGGCACTGGGTGACTTGTGAAGTGAAAAGATATTGACTGGGAACTTTGTATCCATACACTGACCCCTTAAAAGGAGAAACTCACAACCTGGAGACATGGGTGACTCATATCTCTCTACCCACAGCCCCTACTTCTCCCCTAGGGATTTTTGGATATAGTTGTGGTTCCTGGCACATGCTCTTCAGAAGACCTGAGGTCTTCAGTCTAAGAGTGTTGAATTTGACTGTGACTTAAACTTACTCACTAGCAGAATGAATAGATCCCGAGTCCAGTCCTTCCTGAGTGTGCAGAAGCTGTGATTTCTTCTGCAGAGACTGGGTCCCTCATTCTTCCCACTCCAGCATCTCTAATATGCTCCTGTAGAAGGAGTCCATCCCTGCTGGAGAGTCTGTTCCTGGGAGGGTTCCAGTGTGCTGGGGACTCCGTGACCTAAGGAGTGTGCCTGCCCACACCTAAGAGAGGAAAGTAGCATGGCCCATAAGCCCTGAAGAGCCCTGCAGGCCTTTCCCTGCAGGACCTCTCCCTTGAGACATTTGTGGAATGAGCTGGACCTGGGCTGGGAAAGCAGGGATGCAGGAGACTAATAAGAGGGCAATGTCAGCCAAGACATGTTTAGTGCATGGGTGCTTCGGGAATTCTGCTTCTGTAAACTAACTAGCCTAACAGCCTGAAGGTCAGAATCCCCAAGACACATGTCGGGGCCAACGAGTCTGAAGAGAATGGGTGCAAGGGAGTTGGGAGACACAGCTGGAGTTGTAATGGCTAAGGATAGTGAGGGGACCTCCAGAGCCTACACCCACAACACCCTGCCTGATAGAGACCAGGGCCCAAGGTGACATCACAGAACTGGTGCCTGACAGAAGTCCTGATGTAATCAGATAGGGGTGGATCTGGGTTAGATTACAGATAGTCCAGGGCTGGCTGTGAGACCATGGGCAGAAAATCAAGGTGGCCATGGACAGACTCAATGACTAGGAGGACAGAGGACATGAGGACAAGTTGGTGGCCAAGCTGCTGTGAGCTGGGAATGGTGGAAGCAGAGTGATGGCCTGAAGGATGGCTGGGTTGTCTTTCTAAGCCCAGGACCCTAGAACCAAGACTGCTTGTCTGTGAGTTGGGGATGCTTGTTTAGGCTACTAGATCCCAGCCCAAGTGGTTGTTTCAGTACCAAGTCCTTCAGGGTGAGTTGGTAAAGGGAACATAAACTAAGAATTCAAGGTAAGTCAGGACAGGATATTGTGGAGGTGGCCATAGCCCCTGTGTGAGCTGTAGACATATTACTCACATTTAGCCCACAATCTGTGAATTCAGGGATTGTTCATGGTGTGGGAGAATTCAGTCTGTTTTGTCTTGTTTTTCTAAAACCTGTTCCAAAAGCCATTGCCTTTAGACATGGTTTCTCGAGGAAGAGGGGGTCGCCAACTCTCCCAAAAAAGCAATGGCATCACTTTCATCTCATGTCTCCCCTACACTACCCATGCCCAGAACCCTAAGAGTTGCCCAGGAACTCAAGTAGGAAGGTTTTGGTTTTGAGTTTCCTTTTTCCAAACCAAGCATGGAGGCTCTTCTCACCTTTGGGAGCTTGTCCACCTACAAGTGTTGTTTTTTTTTTTTTTTCCAATCCAGCATCCCCCGCCCTGAATTGTTGAAAATGGATTGATGGCTGTCACAACTTAGAAGCTGAGCAGAAATAGGATAGAGTTGGAGTCTCTCAGTTACTGATGACCCCTTTCATCTTTAGGAAAATGGAAGACGCCCTTTGAACCTCGAGATACTTTAGAGTCCATGTTCCACTTGAACAACACAAGGTCTGTGGAGGTGCCCATGATGAATATTAAGGAGCTGATCACACCCTACTTCCGAGATGAGGATATGTTCTGCACCGTGGTAGAGCTGATGTACATAGGCAATGCCAGCGCCCTGTTCATCCTCCCTGATGAAGGCAGGATGCAGCAGGTGGAATCCAACCTGAAACCAGAGACCCTGAGGAAGTGGAGGGACTCTCTGAGTTCCAGGTGTGTGTCTGCAGGACCCAGATCTTGTATGCCTCCCCAGCCTAGTCTCTGCCCATTGTCCCTGTACCTCAGAATCTCACTAATACCTGTATAATGGTTGGAGAGTAGGCAGGGGCAGGAGGAGTGCAGGTGAGTTTCCCTCTGCAGACTAGGGAGTTGAGGGAATTTTACTGTTGTTTTGTTGTTCACAAGATGACATCACCAGGAGCAGGAGCTGAGGATTCTTCTGTGTCTACCAGGCTGTAGTTACAAACAAATTCGAATGGGTTTTAGAAGGCAGAGGGAGTGAAGGTGAGATGACGTCAGCTCTGAGAATCAGCTCTGCCCTGTGCAGCCATCTCATCCCATCTCATTACTAATTCATTAACCTGTAGTGCAATGATGACTTGAAGACCTACTGTGTGACGTGTTCTGATTGAGATCCATAGAATATATCAGAGATTAAAGCACAAAATTTCTTATCAATGTGGGCTCATCTTACAATTGAGGAAGAGAGGGGGAGAGCTAGGATCAGATGGGGTTTGCAGATGGAAATAGGTAAATCATTAGATGAGGTCTGTGGGTCCACACGACAAGGGAAGGACTGCATTTGTGGTTCTGGGTTGAAAGCACTTTTGGAAAGAAAACAGCTGGTACCATGCCTTGCTGTCTTGCTTTAGGAAATCCTAGAGCCAGTAGCCCTTAAGTTATCTGCCCACTGGGGCGTGGCCTCTTATACTATTTATGCCAATGTAAAGTGTGCATCTGGCTTCTATTTTGGCTGCTGGATTCAGCTGGTGTTCTCCGCTCCAGCAGAGGATATTGATTTGTGAGTCTTCCTCTAAATATTTAACCATCTATTATTCTCAGTTCTGAGCTATTGTGGGATTTCTTTTAAGCGTCCTTCACTACCTTTCCAGCATCGTTGGAAAATTAATGCAACAGGAAAAACAAAATTATGTCGTGTAGGCACGAATGGAAAGAGAGCTTTTCCTGCTGAGAGGACAGTGCATACATGTGGCCTCACTAGAGTGTGGTTTGAGGGGGAACATTTCTCTCTCCATTCTCAGGATGATCGAGCTCTCCCTGCCCAAATTCTCCATCTCTACTGACTACAACTTGGAGGGTATCCTTCCACAGCTGGGCATCAGGGAATTCTTCTCCACACAGGCTGACCTGTCTGGGATCACAGGGACTAAGGACCTGATCGTCTCTCGGGTAAGGCAAGACACACTGGGTGGTTCCCATTGGTGCCTGAATGCGAGTGATGCAGGCCAAGTGTATTGAAGACGGCAAATGTGTGAGAACGTCTACATTTCTGAAATTCCCTCATCATGGGAGGTCAGATTGCAGCCTAGATACATATATTATGCTGGATGCCAAGTAGTCAATCCCTGCTCAGCCCCCTGAACAAATTTTGCCGAGAATCATTGTTGGGAAGGAGCTTGTGCTTGGTCTTAGACCATCACTTGCACCAACCAGTGCTGTTGAGCAGATGCCACCCACAATCCACTGCAGGACAAACCACTTCCAGTCTCAGCTTCTTCACTGCATAGCTGGCCCAGAACTTCCTGATTAGCACACAGAACCATATCAGTAAAGGAAATACCAAGGACTGGAAGCAGTTGTATTAAAAAAAAAAAAAAACTTAAGAAAAGGTGTGAAGATGACTTAGGAATTCACACTGCATTCCAGATGCACATCCTAGCAATGCCTAGTTTTCTCTCCAGTGCCCACTCAGATTCCCGGGCTCTGATCTGGGGTATGGCAGTCTGGGAAAGAGAAGCCAGGCTATGATTACTACTGCTGTGTGTCCCAAAGTCTCTGGAGCAGGAGGGATGCTAACACTGCACTGGCTAACAGCACACTAGATATTCCCAGTGAATCTCATGAGAAGCTGTCTGTGGAGTAAGGACAGGCAGTGCCTATACCCATCCTGCAGTGCTTACTGGGATTCAGGGCTGCAGAGATTCTCAGAGATCCAGGACGTGTGTCATCTCACACCCTGAGCAGAGACTTGGAAACACAGGGTTAGAGCTCATGGCAGGAACAAACGCTCACCAGTGTCTGAGGCCAGCAGTCAATGCTTGCTCCAGGAATCTCCTCTCCTGCACTTCCTGGTCTCTAGTGCGTGATGTCTTTCTCCTACAGGTGGTCCGTAAGGCTGTGCTGGACGTGGTTGAGACAGGCACAGAAGCAGCGGCTGCCACGGGAGTGGTGGTTAAAACAAAAATGGTTCCAATAATGAATATGTTGAAAGTGAATTTCAACAGGCCATTCCTGATGATTATCTCAGATAGAAATACCCAAAGTTCACTTTTTTTGGCCAAAGTCACAAATCCCAAGGAAAACTAGAACTTCCCAAGTGATGAGGCTTCCTCCTGGGAGCCAGGGACTGAGTCTGAATATGGGTCTCTATATGCATTTTGGCCTCCATTCTCTGATTGGCTGTGTGTGCCTGAGTGGAGAGTGACAGTGACTAACTGTATGACTCCACCATGCACAGGGCCTGTGGACAGACAGTGTCAGACTCCCCATAATCTTGGCTGCACTATATCATATTTCTTAGACTGAACTCTGACTCTGTGGCTCCTCCCTGCTGCCTCTCTTGTATGAGCCTCTACACAAAGCCTGGGCCCTGGCAGGAAGGCTCAGCCCCTACCTGTGCTATGGTTATATCTGCTTTAAGCTTCCACAGGCTTCGTGGGATAATTCAAGGTATAGACTCATTCTGTGGTCCTCAGGCTCAGAACTGAGAAGGGAACCTGCTGTCTTCTCTGTGTTTCCAGCATCTGAAGCCAGTGTGTGCCCAGTTCCTGCCTCAAACATTTCCTCACCCAGCTCTGCCACCCAGTGTCCCTTCAGGGGCTCCTGGGCCTGCCCACATCTGGCACTGTTGTGGAGAACCTTCTTCTGCATGGAGTCAATTGGTCAGTTCAGCTCCTTTCATCTCCTCTACCTACTGGGGGCAGAGGAGCCTTTTCCTAGGTTTCCCGCTGGCCAACAACAAACAATGGATGCCACCCCTTCCTTACCCAAAATGCAGGACTTTCACAAAATGCAATAAATGTATAACTGCTCATAAGTGACCAGGCTGTGTTCACTCAGCTTCAACTGGCAGAGGTGTGGCTCTAGTGACAACAGATTAGTAGAAATTGTCATTACAGTCTGTGACTTTGGTGATGAAAGTCTAACCTACATGTTATTATCAGTTTCTTTTATAAAGGAGGAAATTGAGAAACAGAGAAGCTTAGTCATCTTCTTATGACGTCACAGCTAGACATAGTGCTTGGCGGGATGTTATTCCACGATTCCCACTTTCACAGGAACAGACTTCCAAAAGCTGGGGTAGGGTGCCAAGGTCTCACCATGGTGCTGGGCAGGTGGATAATAAAACAAGGCTCTGGATGCATCACAGACAGAACGCGAATCAATCTATGGATCAGGTGACCTCTGTCCTGAGGTCAGAAGAGGATAAGCAGGTGTTCAGTTGACCAGAAAAAAAGATTTTGCAGGGCATAGAGCAATAGGGGCATTTCTAAGAATCCTGGATGTTTAGCAAAAGAAAAAACAGTCAACAGATGTCAAAGAGACTGGCCCTGAGAGGATCTTTAAAGGGATCAAAACAAGAGGGGAGCTCTGGAGGGGTAAATCACTGTCCCTGTTTTGGGAGCATCTTAACTTTTTGTGGCTATAGGACAGAAACTGTTCTGGGAAGATGTAGCCATTGTCACTAAGGAGAGTTATAAGGAACACCATGCCACATCTGGAGAGGAGAGTGGGTGATTCAGAAGTGATGAGCTGGTTTTGTGCCTAGATAGAGGACAAAGGAGAGCAAGGTTCATTAAGTTGGGGCGCCTGGTGTCCATGGAGAACCTGTGATCCCTGAAACACTGCTGGAGGCTTGAACAGAGAGGGAAAGTTGGATGTACAATTTGAAACATACATGAGTCTCAACCTCCTAAGAACAGACATTGAGCAGGTAGACATGTAGTTACAGAAAATTACAGCCTGGGATCACACACAGAATTGGTTCCCAATTGAGAACCAAGGTATCAAACCATTGGAACCATGGAGTAATAAGAAGGGACCCAGGTATTGACATCAGTCATGTCGCAGCAATTCCACCATGTCCAACAGTCATTCTAGGCCCTGAGGTGGCTTCCTCATGTACTTGATGGGTACTGGAATGCCTAAGCTGCATCCCTCCATCCCTCTTGGCTTCAGCCCTGGTATCTAAGGAGCCTGGTGCTGAGTACATCTAATTTTGCCTGTTAGCTGGGACCTAATACTGGGGAGGAAGTCTGAGTCTAGGACACAGATACAAAGGTACCATAGGGGCATGTTTACAGTAGTGATCTCAGACACCTGTGATCCAAACTAAACTCAGAGCAAAGTGTCTCAGGGTGACCCACCTGATGTGAAGGTTTCCAGGGGGCAGCCACTGTGAACTGTCTGATTTGCAGATCACAGCCCAACCCCAGAGCCTTCAGAGAGGATGCTGAGCTGCCATCCAGCTGGCTGCCTCCATGTGTTTTCTGTTGTTACTGAGGAACACTGAGCAGACAGTATATAGAGTGGGTGTCAGTTAGCCTTTTATCACTGGGACAGCACATCTGAGGAAACCCACTGAGGGAAGCAAAGGTGTGGATTGAATCACAGCTTCAGAGACTTCAGGCCAGGGTCTGCTGGCTTCTTTACTTTGTGCCTGAAGCAAGTCAATCTGTGTGCATCAAAGACACTATCAAGAGGATGAGGGCTTGGGACATTATCCAACCAGTGAGATCACTTGGCTTGGCTCAGCATTAACTGGTCTCTGATCCTGTGATCCTGCAGTGTTGGCAGTCAACAATGGTGCCTACTTCAGCAGATGCTGGTAAGGATGTAACAAGGTCTGAGGCATGAAGGACAGAGCAACAGCGGTGGCCATCATTGTGTCTGTGGGGACAGAGAGCAAAGGGCAAGAAAGGGCTAATGCCTAGGGAAGAATCCACTGTAAGAGACTGCTGTGGTGTTAAAATGATCAACACAAGACACTTATTAACAACAATACTATTAAGCCAATTAATTTTTTAAGCACTTTTATTAGAGATCCCACAAAAAGAGGGCTTATGCCTGTGAAAATCTGTAAGAGCCCAAGCTCAGAAGCACAGCATGTTGGAAGGTAATAACCACAATGAACATAATTTACATTCATGCTAGATGCAGGTCAGAGTAATCTGAAATGTTCCTTCCTGGCAGAACACAGTATTTATCTCAGTCCTAGCATAACAGTTAATGTAGGTCTATAACATCTTTATGTGTTTTGGTTTCCCTTACTTATTCTGGTTGAATCCTTTGGACCATGACAAGTCCATGGAAATCTCAAATACATGTGAAGACAGTCATGGGTGCAGGTGGACACAGGAGGCTGAGAACTATGTGAGCAAACACAGGATGGAGTCAGAGAACGAAGGATTTACCTTAGTTATTTCAGGGTGAGCCTGCATGCTGTCTTCTGACCTGTCTGCCCTTGCTTTCTTCCTTGGTTCTGAGGACAAAGAGGGAGACTGGTCTTTCCCCAAATCTACTAATACAGAATAAATTGTCCCCAAATGCACACCTTGAAACATAAATATGAAATATCCCATGAGGGTCAAGGTGGTTCTTCCTCTAGGCACTCATGAGTCACACTGTTGGATGAAGATTTGGCACATGCTCAAGGTTCCATGTCCAGGTTCACTCTCATGACCAGTTTCTTTGTTCCTTTGTTGCTATAACCTTGGTGCAAAAAGTCCCAGCATCATGTGCTTGCTGGGAAAGCCGCCTACCACTGAGGTAACGCCCTGGTCTCTCATGACATTTGAAGGGAAATCTCTTTGGACCTACTCAAAGGGCAGCTTATACTCAACTTCAGTGATGAAGCGAAGAGAGATAGAGAGAGACAGAAAAGAGGAGAAGCAAAAGACGAAGAAGGAGAAGGGGTAAGCAGAAGAAAAGACAGAGGAAGAAAGAGGAGAAGGAAGGAGAGAGATCAGGTGGAAGAGGGTTTTGGGGGGACCTGGAAAAGACTGCCACAGCTGAGGCTATACACACATGTATTCCCAGCACTGGAGTGGCTGAATCAAAGAGTATGAGGACAGCCTGGTTATGTTAGCTGATGTCCTTGTTGGTGAGTCCCAGTACCCAACTGAAGCAACTTGAAGGTAGAATGATTTATTGGGATCTTGATTTCTTGACAGGACAGGCATTGTGGAAAGTTAGGTTTTGATCTGTGGTGACAGTTATATGTCAACATGTCCCAGCTGAAGGACCAGGAAACAGACATCTTGATCAGAAATCAGTCAGTGAAATACCTCTAACTGACTTATTTACTTATAGTTAGCCTAGTCTCCCAAAGCAGCTTCACCAACTGGAGCACAAGGATTCAAACTCCTGAGCCTCTTGAGTGGGGAGGAGGGAAAGGTGCACCTTTCTCTTCATAGCGCACCTCTGTGTCACCCTCCCTGTGTGCTGCACACACTCTGTCCAGAGTTGACAGTGATAACTGATGCTCTCACTGAAGCGTGAGGGCAGCATGAAGTGTATACTTGTCTCGTTGATCAAAACCTCATGATTATGAGAGTTGAAATGTTCCTTACCAGAGCTAAATTACCTGGAACTATTACATACCCATTTATCACTGAACATATTCAGTGAATGAATGATTAATTTTCATATGTCAGGATTCTGAGAGTAACCAAAGTTATATAAGGATTATATAGATATATAAAGAAAGGATATTTTTTTGCAATATCTTAAATGCTGTGGTCCAATTAGTCAAACAATGGTTGTCTACCAATAGAAGGTCCAAAACTCCAATAATTTTTCAGTATACAGGCCTAAATGTCCCACCTGGTCATCAGTCTGTGCTAGAATCTTGAAAAAGGACACTCTGATGCCACTTAAGGGGTGGACTTGGTAGTGGGTGTGAGAAGAAGAAGGAAAGGGAAGCAAGAATTCTTCTGCTATATCCTTTATATAGACTTTTAGCAGTCTATATAAATATAGATGAATATAATATAGATTAAAGATGGATATTCCCATCTCATAATTTTCAGAGTAGAAGTGCTCCTTTCCAGTTAAAATTATTTAATTAAAACGAAGTTCTTCACCAGGTGCTGCTGTCACATGCAGATCTCTGAGTGTTTGGTCTACAGAGTGAGTTTCAGGAAAACTAAGGCTACACAGAGAAACCCTGACTAAAAACAAACAAACAAAAAAGATAGAAAGAAATATTTCTCCCAGGTGCACCTGGATCCTTGGGCTTTAGCTGATTACAGAAGAAATAAAATTGACAATCAATTACAGCTACCTTAAGTCCACCAAATGTTAAC